CACCCAATCAAGTACCAATTCAAGCTTGGGAAGAATATTTTAGAGGGTTGTATGTAGATCCAGCTTGCAATATGAACGAAAGTCAGATCAATCTGGATCAAGTTCAGAATTGGCCGCCAGTTTTGGCGTAAGAGGCATCTCGATTGATAGAATCACTTAAGGTCAATAAGGCTCCAGGTGTAGACTGTGTTGTGCCCGGATTAATTAAAAAGAATTCTAGTTGGTGGGCACCCTTGTTAGCGTCATTGTTTTCACATTTATTGATCAGACAGGTCATATTCCAAGAGACTGGGGATTGGCAATAATCGTCCCAATTTATAAAAAAGGCAATAAGAATGAACCAGGTAACTACAGGCCTATTAGCCTTCTGAGTGTTGTTAGCAATTACAAGACTGGATAGAGATAGAGGGCACAATTCAAGAGGAACAGGAAGGCTTCAGAGAGGGGAGATCAATGGTAGACCAACATTTTGGTCCTTTATCATCTTGTACAAAAATATATGTACAAAAAGAAAATATCCCTCTATGTGGCTTTCCTTGACTTCAAACAAGCCTTTGATTCAATATCTAGGAAAGTGCTTTGGGACAAATTAAAAAATACAACTATAGATAGGCGCCTCCTCTACCTTATACAGAAATTATATTCCAACTCTACCCTAAGAATATCCCTTGGGACCTTCTCTGGCACTGTAAAAGTGCAGAAAGGAGTGTGACAAGGATGTATTTTGCCCCCCTCCCTTTTCAATCTATATATTAACTCACTGGTAGACCTTTTATATAACTCAGATTTCCATGCACCCATCCTAACACAGTGTAAACTCCCAATACTTCTTTACGCTGATGATGCCGCTATAATCTCTCAAACACCTGTTGGGTTAAAAAGAGCAATAGCAGCAACACTAAGGTACTGTAAACAAAATAATTTGGTTCTCAATTTTGATAAATCAAAAATTATGGTATTCGCTAAGAGAGCCATTCAACATTCCTGAAGAGTAGAAAAGTATAATTAGAGCAGGTTAATACATTCAGATACTTGGGGGTATTTTTCCACTTAAAAGGCATTTGGAATGCTCACCAGAATTATGTGACACAATCAGCCTTCAGGTCGATGAACGCCATTAAACTTTTTTTTTATATGATGGAGGACAATTAGTTCCTGCAGCCTTAAAACTATTTGAAGCCAAAACATTGGCTCAATTTCTTTATGGAGCACAAACAGGAATTTATGTGAAGAAGGAGCCGCAGGAAACCGTACAAACAAAATTCTTGCGATCAATTTTAGCCGCTCCCAATGGAAGTCCAAATGCCCAGCTAAGACTCAAGACAGGAATGCCACCAATTCAGGTTAGGGCCTGGAAGATGATGATAATCAACTGGCTTAAAATACAATTCTTCCCAGCTGGACTAACTCCCTTAGTTTTAACAGTTTTTTTTTCTCCCTGGAAATAGGTGGTGGAGCATAAGTAGGCTTCATATGGGCTCTCTCTTCCAACTTTGATATCAGTGGGATATGATCAAGCCAAGCATCTAACTATTCAAAGAATAGGGGATATAGAGTTCCAAACTGAAGTTAACAGGCTGTCCCAACATGATAGAATGTGGATAAACAGGGGTATATGGGAACCAGCATGGTATTTACAAACGAATGTGGATAAACAGGGGTATATGGGAACCAGCATGGTATTTACAAACGAATGTGGATAAACAGGGGTATATGGGAACCAGCATGGTATTTACAAACGAATGTGGATAAACAGGGGTATATGGGAACCAGCATGGTATTTACAAACCCTAACCTTCTCCAAGTTGAGAATAGCTTTTTTAAAGCTAGATACATCATTCTTCCATCAGCACTACTTCAAGACAGGTATAATAAAATTCCCATAGGGGAGCATATCTGTCCATGTGGCAATAAGGAAATAGAAAACATCTCACACATTTTATTACATTGCAAATTTTATAGGGATATAAGGTCTAATTATATTACCCCCCTAATAGATAAATTCTTGGGGAGACCAGACAAATTTTATCTGAATCATCTTCTCCAGGATTTAAAATCTGCTACTACCTGTATAGTAGCTAAATTTTGTGTTGCTGCAATGAATATAAGGCAAAAACAGCTAAAGAAGTAATTGGTTTAAGATCATTTTTACTTTTATTTTTATTTTTATTCTTATTTTTACTTTGTACTTTTAATATCATTTTGGATTGATATTTCTTAATTAATAAGTTGCTGGGGTATATTTACTCAAAATCATAGTTTTTAGTTTTTAAACTTATTATTACTTGGGTAATCAATGTATTAATATGGTTATAGAGGAATGAATGTAATACATTATTATGTGATCTGTCTTTTAGTATATTATTTTACCAAAGTTTTACTCTGTCATTGTTTTTGTAAATTTGCTGGTCATTGATCGAATAAATACATGTTCTTTGTCTGCATGGAACTTTGGCATCTGAAATAAGTTTGTTTTTCCTGAGCCCTCACATTCCTGTACTACCTCTAAATGAGAAAGACCTGAATACTGAGTGAACTGTACGGCATTTAAAATAATGTTCTGCCAACATCACTGCTTTATATATTTATCCCGTTACACCTCAAGACTTACACACAGTTTCTAGCAGCCAGGTCTTTGTGAATAACTTCTCTTCGGGACAAATAGCTCATTCCACAGGCAATTTGAATCGCCATATGTACAAGGTCTTGTTGAGAAATTGCCTGAAATAAAAAGCGGAATTTAATTAACCTGTTCAAACAAAATTTAGTTATTATTTATTTATGGTCCATGACCAAACTGTAGTTCACCCTAAAAAGTAAGTGGTCACTGAGAAAGGTCATCCAAAAAATCTTAATCACACAGTTTTTATCTATATCTTAGATCTTTCTATAAGTCTAGATCAAAAACCTGCTGTTTCAGTGCCAACAAAGCTCTCTCCAACACAAATAAACTCAGACATTAGACAGATATGCCGCAGGATTTTAAATTAAAATTTACCTAAGATGATGTAAAATTATCCTGAAGGGTTAAGGGAGACCAGAGGGCTATCAAAATAAATTAATTTGAGCCAGTATTTTAGGCAGCAAAAGCTAATCTCTATCAAGATCAGACCAGATGCTAGTCTTAATAGGGAGATGGATACATAATAGAGCACATGTAGCTCTTTCAGTTATAACAGCAAAGACATGGGCAGGGGATCACCATGGAACAGATCATGAACTGCAGATGTGCAAGTTTTAACTTAAACTAAAGCGAAAGAAGAAAGCCAACCAGTTTCCATGATATGATCTTGACCATATACCCACCATTTTCAAGAAGAACTTCAGGAATCACTTTGAAGTCCTGAACCTCAATGAAAGGGAATCAGAGGAACTGTGAAATGAAATCAAAGAAGCTGTTAAGGTTGAATGTGAAAAGAGACTGCCAAAGATTAAGAAACAGAAGAAAGCAAACTGTTTATCAGAATAAACAGTGATAATTGCCAAGAAGAGAAGCGACGCCAAAGCCAAGAAAAAAAAAGGTCTCTGGAATTAACTCAACAAAGAATTTCAGACAATTGTTAGAAGAGACAAGAAGCAGTATTACAATGACATCTGTAAAGACATCAAAAGCGGAACAGACAAGGAAAAACGGATGTTTTCCAAAAGATTTCTCAACTGAGAAGATGGTTCCAAGCTTGAATTGGGATGCTAAAGGACACCAATGGACAAATAATTTATTCCAAGAAGATCAAAGAAAGATGGAAGGAGTATACTGAAATTCTGTACAGTACAGGTATCAACATCCATGAAACTTTAGAAGTTATTCCCTACTTACAAGAGCCTCTATTACTAGAAGATGAAGTTAGATCAACACTCTGGCCATTTCCAAGTGGGAAGGCCACAGGAATTTATGGAATATCTACAGAAATATGGCAAACATCAGAAGAAGAAGCAGTAAAGGTTCTAACCAAATGATGCCATCAAATCTGGAGAATGATACAGTGCCCAGAGATTGGAAGAGATCAGTCTACATATCAATACCAAAGATAGGAGGCTTAACCTACATTGTACAAAATTCTCAATTTCACTTGTTAGCAAAATAATGCTTAGGATCATCCAATGCATATTAAAACCCTACATGAAAAGGGAGATGCCAGATATTCAAGCTTGCTTTAGAAAAGGCCAAGGAACCAGAGATAATTCTGCTGATGCATGCTGGGTAACTGAAACAGCCAAAGAATATCAAAAAGAAGTCAGAATGTGCTTCATTGATTTTAAAGAGGTCTTCAATTATGTTGTTCATGTCAAGCTGTGGAATGTGCTTAGAAAAATGGAAATCCCAGGACATTTCACTGTCCTCATGTGAAACCTATACACAGGTCAAGAAGCTACAGTCTGAATGGAACATGGTGAAACAGACTTGCTCCAGGTTGGCAAAAGAGTTATTTATTCAACCTGTATGGTGAATATATATTGAGAGAAGCTGGATTAGAAGAAGATGAGCATGTTTCTAAAACTGAAGGAAGAAACGTCAATAACCTGCACTATGCTGTTGACGTTAATCTAATAACTAAAAATGCAAATGATCTGCAAGCTCTAGTCATGAAAGTCAAGGAGCATAGTGAAAAAAATGGGGCTAAGATTAAACATAAAGAAGACCAAACTAATGGTCTTCTAATGGTCAAACTAAAATGATAATAGATATAGTAAGTAGCCTTAGCACTGACTGTGAAGATACTGGTGGGTAGCTTCTGCCTTTTAGCATCAACTATCAATAGTAAAGGAACCAGCAGTCAAGAAATACACTATAGACAAGCACTTGGTAGAGTCGCAATGAAGACCTTGGAAAAGTTATTCAGATGCTGTGATGTAACTATACCTGCAAAGATCAGAATAATACACACAAATATTTTCCCTATGACATTCTATGGAAGTGGAAGTTGGACTGAAGCAGCTTTAGACACATTATGTGAAAACCAAGCTCTCTGGAGAAGTCTTGCTTCTTGGAAATACTTGGTAACGGGGAAGGGAAGAGTAGAAGAGAATGACCAGCAGCAAGGTGGAAGGACTCAATTACAGTGTTCCAACACTGTTGGAAGACATGAAAGACCAGGTTGGGGACATATCATCCTGGAGAAATCTATCTACGTAGTCACTAAGAGTTGACACTGACTTGACGGCACATAATCAATCAGCAACACTCGTATGCATTTTTACTGAACAGTTTCAAGAGTCATAATTCAGTATTTACAAATCTGTGGACCATAGATCAAACAGCTCATACCCTTTGTTCTATAGACCTCAATTTCTGCTGGAGAATTCTTAATACCATTGTATTTATTTATGAAATAAAAATAGAGTTTTCAAGACGTTGCGTCTACAAAGAGACTCCTGTCAATTTCAAGGTACTTAGGCACAGAAAGAGACTCTAAATGGCTCAGTTTGATTATAATGTTGTCAATTTTCCATGAGCGGTGGCATATGAAAGGGCTTCTAGAGAATAGAACTAGTTTGGTTGCGTCATGAGTGATGATAAAACCATTTTCTTTGCAATAAAGAGCAAGTGACTAAGCCATCACCTCAGGCCTACTTGAGATGCAGAAAGGATAGCCATGTCATCTGCATAGAACTAAAGTGAAATAGGCTTGCTGGCTAGCACAGGTGTGATTAGAGAGCATTCTCTTGACAGGATTTACATCAAAAAACTTACACAGAAAATAAAGAGAATAGATGTTAAATCACAGCCAATTCTTCCCTTTCTGGATGGGGGGGGGGAGTTGATGCCCTGCAGAGCTAGTTGAGATCTGTATAGCATGTTATCATAATTGCCTCATCATTTAATGTGAGGAGGTGCCTGCTGATGGAAGAGCCTATTTAGCCTGTTTCTGGGAATCAAATCAAAATGTGGCTTTTAAATTTAGAGTTTTCCCCAAAAATGGCTGGTATATATTTTAGCTAAATGCTGAATAAGCAAGCAATAGTCTTAACCTTGTCTAAGGCTAGTTGGTTCCCTAGCTAGAACATTGTCCTGCAACATCCAGTCTACCAATCTCCTGTAAAGGTGTCTAGCATAAAACTTATTTATGATGCTCAATAAATTGACTGGATAATAATTTGGTAGTCTCCAGGATTTCTTTTTAGTCTGCTGGCATCTAGAATGATTGTTCCATATGTGTAACTAGATTAAATATTGTAAATAGATATTTGTGTCTGTCAGTCAATATATTTCTTCAATACTTCTTCCAGTTTTAAATTGCATTATTTGTCACCAAATTTCACTTAAAATTGGAATAGAAAATGTATTTCTCCAGCTCGCTGAAAATTTTGGCTGGTGCTTATATTACTTTGAAAGTTACTCTGAAAATCAGGACTTCAACTCTCAGTGAGTGTATTTGCTATTGCAGTGGTGAAGTTAGGCTACAACATTGTTACTTCTGTTCCTGATATTACTTCAGAAAGAAGAAAGACTAGGTTATAAAAAGGTTGTCTCAGTCCTTGCTTTGGCATCTGGTAGAAGAATTCTGTACCAAGTGCATGTAATCAGTGTCTAAAATGCTAGAGCAGGGACAGGCGATGTTTTTCTGGCTACAGCCTACAGAATAAATGCAAAATGGCAAGGCACTGATGTGCACATGCACAGGATTTGAATTTGTTGGGTGGGGAGACTTTTAGTTGCTGCAAACTTCAAAATTATTCTGTGCTTAAGTGAAAGATGATTCAGTTTACTGCATAAAAAGTGTTAAAAACATTCTCCCTATTCTCCAAGATTTGCCACAAAACCTGGGCAACATCATCAGAGGCTATTCTACATCGTATGGCCTGCAAAGTCCCCAACCTTGCTACAGTATTTTGATAAAAACAAGATATTGTGAAACTCTTCCAGATCATGGCAGGAGATCATATGGTCTGGTCTGAGTGTTTGTAATATCCAGAGTGGTGACAATTTTGAATCCTAGGATTAAACACTTCTTACCTGAGGGTTATTAGCTTCTACAAGTTTGCACTGTCGCAAGAACAGCTTGAGATTCCCCCAGTTCATGTAAGGCAACAGCACCATTGGTTTTTCTCCTTCCTCAATACAAACATGAGTGATTGGGAGTAGATTTCTGAAAGAAATATAGTGTTGGCTTGTCATGATGTTATACCATTTCACTGTCAAATAATATTCTGTGACCAATCAGTACTGTTGGATAAATTGCAGAATTATCATCCCTTAATTATCCTATTTCTTAAACTTTTTGTTTCTGTTATATGGTTTTCCCCCAATAAATTTCTATATAAATAGCATACTAGGAGGTATTCAGGAGAAGTGAACCATGGTATTTCATAATTACATCAAAAGGAGTAGCTGAATAAAAGGAAACATACAAAGAATGCTCTTATTAGTTGCTTGAATACACATAGATAATACAAAAGAAATCATACACAATAATTAGAACTTAACTCTCTAACCAAGAGATAACACCCACCCACACCTACATACAGTGTATAGGTCAATCTATGATCTCTTTATTTTATTTTATTTATATTTCAAATTTAGTTACCGCCCATCTCACTCAAAGAGCAACTCTGGACGGTTATGTTTCTATAAATATTTATACTGGGAAAATAGAAAACTATGTGGCTTTGGTCTGTCACACAAAAAATAGAAAATATTTTCTCTGTATTAAGGATTTGAAACAGAATATCCAAGTACATCAACATGAACAAGTTTCCACAAGACTGGAATTCTCATAACAGCACATGCTTTAAAAATAGCAAAAATAACTCTTCCACAGGTTTAAAGCTTAATTTGTTTTTAGTTTCAGCCTGTGAAACTTTTCACATCAGATTAAGTATTTCACTGGAATGACTAATGATATTAAGTTGGATACTGACTTTCTACTGATCAAAGGCAAAAATCAGAAATGCCTGAATTTTTTTTTAGCAGGATCACGGAAAAGATTTATTTCATTTTAAAAATATGTCCCAACTCCTTCTAAATATTTTTTCACAGTTACATTACTGGCTCTTTTCATATATTATTATGAGATTTTGGTGAAACATTCTTCCCATCACCCTCAAATGCCTCTGTTCTCTTTTCCCTTATGTTTGCTGTTTAGCAAATAATGAACAAGATATTCCTGAAAGCAGAAGTTGAAAATCTGGAATCTTCCATAAAGTTAAAAAAAGTTGCTTGCTCACATAAATTTTAAATAAACCTTTCAATCCTCCAAAACAAATTTAACAATTTTAGTGTGACTTTAAAATAAGAACACTAACCTGTGATGAAGACCTCTGAGTTTACTGCTTTCTGTCAACATCATTGTTATTTGAACTTCTGAAGCTTGATCTAAAAAGCCAAACTTTTGTTAAAGCCACTTTGCATAGGCGGAAAAAAGCTTTCTTGAAATGAGTATGCAGACTTAAATAGACAAACTCAAAATACTTGAACAGCGAAGACACTGTTTGGATGAACAAGTATACCTAACTGTTCCTAACTGCTTGGGTTTGATGCAGACTAATTTGATAGCATTTTTAAAAAAACTAATTGGGTGCCTTCAATTCCTTCTTTTTTGTAATAAGTTGGGATCCCGAAGTAATAAATAAAATAAACATGTTCAAAAGCATGTATTTGTATATGACATCATTTTAAGGATATTTATCTGGAGACAATTCCATACTTGAGTTCCATATGACATAACAATCATACCTAATCATACCTACAATTTTCCATGTAAATGACTAATAAAACAAGATTCAGATTATATATAATATTCTACATTCAAAGGAGAAAACTTGCTTATGTAAGAAATATATCACATTGCACATTTTTCCTCAGATACACTGCCAAAAGCATTAACAAGGCAGATAAGGAATCTACTGAACTGTTTCATCTTACGTGAAAACAGATATGAGGGAAATAAAGTGATATGGGTATGCTGCTGTATTAAATTTCTGGTACTATTTTTAGCAATATTACATGGAAGGAAATCTAACATTATAAATATTACAGTGAAAATAATAGTAAGAGAGGATAAAGTAATAGAATAAATCCAAATTATAAATGTGTGTGTGTATGTGTGTGGATAGATAGATAGAATAAAGTCAAAGATGTGCAAAAATAAATGTGCCTATGAAATATTAAACATTTAGTTATATGACTGCACAATTGGAAGAAGCTGTAAGACACCAAAGCATAGCCATATATCCAGGTATATAGTTATAGTAAGTAACTATAACAACTCTCCTTTCTCTGGCAGACATAGATCGTTCTGAGGGTATCTAAATCACATAATCCTATCCATTTCTCTTGTAATATTGGATAGACTGTTCTGATTGGGAGACAGAAACAGACAAACAAAAGCAAAAGATGGACACTATAATGAAATGCACTGCATTTTGAAAGCTTTTTCGATACAAGCTATTAAGTGAAATCTCAATACAGGTTATTTGCATAGAAATTACCTATTGCCTAAACGTCTGTAAAGAACTTGCTTTATTAACTAGATGCTTTTCAGGCATGACTAGCTGAGTCAAAAAGCTGACCTACGTTCAAACTAAACTAAGATATTCAAATCTTATCTTTTAAAACAGTTCCACTAATTTGGATTTGATCCAAAGCATTTGAACCATGAACAACAGGATCCTTTCCAAAGGAGAACTCTTTTATTCATGCAGTGTAAACTTTGGATCAAACCTATTGTGCTTTCTTATCAATATGATTTCCTTGTTGTTTCTTATAAATCACCCATTTTTCCAAGAAAACAAATCTAACCCATACTCAGTAGTTTAAAATGCATACCCACCCTGCCTCAGATGCGACCAGAGGCGACGTGGAAGTGAACATTCTCTGCAGGAATTTCCCTCTCGCAGAATGCTCTCTCATCAAACTGCATCCTCACTCCTATTTTCCAATAAGCTTTTAAAAACATGGCTTTTAAATGTGTATTTGGGGATTAAGGTGAGGGTGAGAGAGATACCTAATTGAAATAAATCTGACTGCTTACTGTTATGTTTTCAATTAATATAAATATTATATTAACATTATTTTGAATCTATGTTGATAGTACTTATTACTGTTATTGCTATGTCTAATAATTTTGATAATTTTGATTTATTATATTACATTACATATTGTATGTTATGCTGTAAATCTCTTAAGAACTGTATAATTGAAATGGCATAGAAGCATCTATAAAGAATAAAAAAATAAACCCCTCATAGTAAAAGGGACCAGTAAATTCTGATCATCAACTCATTAGCAAAACAGGTGGCCCAGATCCCTCCTAGTTTTCTTCATTCTAGCCTTTTTCTTTTTTTAACTAGAGAAGTACAAGCTACCATCTGTTTCAGTTTATTATTCAAAGCTAATATCTT